TAAATAAGCTCGAGTGATCACACCTGAAACGTAAATTACCTTCGACAAGAACAAATTAATTCAAAGACTTTTAGACAGTATAACGTAACAAAAGCCAAAAATAAACAACAGCGTGTAAATTTCACTCCTTTGCAAAGCGCGCATGTGTTTGGAGTAAGAAATTCGCGTATATGTGACTTCAGTTCCGAAGACAAAATTGTTTACTCTTGCCTAGGGAACTATCGATAACAAAGCGTTTTTCAACTAGATACCTGTATTGACACCAAAAAAGTTGACTGAATTTATCTAAAGACAACTTTAGCTGAATATTCTGTATGGAGAACGTACCGAGTACGACCTTGAGGTAACGTACAGTACAGAATGAGCAAATGCACAAGGTCCAATGTCCAATATCATTTTACTAGCCAGTGTAAACCAAACTGTTTTCTTTGTGCTTCCTTCTTGATTGTAATATAAAGGTCCCTGGTCCTCAGCAAATCTCTGATTAGTTCGTCTCGCAGCTAAACTATCGCAGATTTGTTTGAGTTCAAAAGGAGTGGTGATGGGGTTAACTACATGTGTTATATAGCTAGTGTATATTATTTAGACTTATAAAGAAAAGCAGAAGATGCACAAACAGCCACTCAAAATCCAAAATTTATATATACATGGGTTAAATTGGCAGAGTAGTCGGAAAATTAGGACAAGGGAGAATGAACAGTAAGAAAAGGACAGGTTAATGTGTATACCGATTGACACTGGGTGAGTTTTAAGAGGATATGCACTTCACACCCAGCCCGTGTCACTACATCACTTTCCAGACTCCGCCTACCGACGCTACAGCTGCTTGCAAAGAGTTTCATGGGTGTCAGACTCGAGATGAAAACAAATGAGGGCTTGGATGCCATTGCGAGAACCTGGGTCACACGGACAGAGCTGAAATGGAAAACAAACAGAAAAGCCAACACACCACAAGCATACCCACAGCACAATCACACTCATCGGTGACGATCTACGCCTTCAAGTTAAAGGCCTCCTCTTGACATCTTCCAACACAATCGCCACTTGCTAGAATGACTCTTGCAGAAAGCAACGTGACCATAGCAGCATTTCATGATACTCCTCGCACATCCTCTTATCTATTCACTACCAATTACCATTACAATCGCCTGTCACTCGTTCTGCCTCAGTTCTAGTAACGGTGACGTATGCAAGCCCCAGTCGCCCACACTCTCCCTCCACGGCGTGTCGGACCGCAGCTAACAATTATCTCCATATGCATTTCATTCTCAGCAATAGCCTAGCCTCCTCGGCGTATACGACCCATCTGCTGTCTTTAACATCAGTCAATTCATTCACGGATGTAGAAGATACGAAACAACTCCAGAAGTAAGCACGACGAAAAATCTAACACAATTATGCAATAACAACGAGATACGAAAACAACAAGTAAACACAATGAATCCAAAAACACCAATTGATATGACACACCACACATATATACAGACAGTACAAAAAGCTTGCAGATCATATCTTGATGGAATTCCTTTGAAGAATTGCAGGACTTACGCCAGTACGCCTGCAACCTTTCTCATGTTGACGATTGTAGGTTGAAGAATATCCGGACATAAACAAGATTAACCAACAATTAAACTCGATTATTTAACACAAACATATGTACAATCAATACATCAATTGTTGTGGATTCTTCCTTGACGAACTACCCTTGAAGAACTGTGGGACTTACAGCAGTACGCCTACAACTCTTCTCGGCTGACGCCATTAAGTTGGAAAATCGTTGCAGAGTTCATTCGGTGACCTCCTTCTATCATCTATATCCTCAACTCTGAATGGTAACACACTCGTGTCATTGAATCGTATAATATAGATGACCAACAAACATGCGACGTATCTGACCAACATAGCGTAGGTACAGAGTAATTTACACCAAAGATAATAACATTTAAATAGCAACTTGAAACTTGAAATGCCTTTATTCATGCAAGTCAATTTAACAATTACCCTCTCGTACACACTTGGCTTATCCTCATTAAACTGACCAATATCTTTCGTCTTTTCAAGCAGAATGATACTAGAATAATCATTGCAAAAGACTTGTGAGTTCATTAAAATCCATTTCATTGTGGATGACAACACTAACGATGACTGACTGATACCAGTTGATGAACTTAACGGTAGATCAGAAGCCGTTGTTGTTCGGCTTTTAGAAGGTTGTCTAACCGCACTTCACCACTGTTGTCTTTTACTATCAGCTCAGGTTTAGCACTATCATCTGATGATAGGTGGGCTACACGCTGATCAATTACACTGGGGGTCTCACAAGTATCCCTACCCTCTGCAACTGCATCTGCCTTTAATTCTACTTCACGTTCAAGTTGTACAGAACCTTTGTTCAACTCAGTAGCAGTAGACATTCCGCTCATCTCATCATGATCAACCAAAGACAAATCTGCACTATCATGATCATTATCACAAATATTCACTTTAACGTCGTCTATCTGGTCGACTTCATCACTTTTAAACTCTTTAATGACAGCAGTAGATAATTTGGGTTCTTCCTCACAAATCCTTAAAGGTTTTATATCTACTCTCCGCCTAGTAATACCTTGTAAACTAGCGGAGTCAGAACTGCACTCTGAGACTGTAACTCTCCTCTGTGACACTCTAATAAACAATCGCTTACCAGTTGCAAATACAGGCTTCTTGATCACACCGTTATCGTCACACAATTCGGAGTCAGACCTTGATTTCACATTTAGCTTATCACTAAACTTGCTCACTGATTCACAGTTCATCATTGTATGCACTTCTTGCAAACGTGTAAAACACAACCGTGTTTGTCTTGCATCTTGTAACTTATCTGTTGAGGATGTACCGAGAAAGCTGTTACACTCACTAAGTTATATGGACTACTAGACACCATGGAGCTTTCTCGATATCCACCTCTCTGAGACCCTTTCGTCATAAATGATTGCGTTTTGCTCTCAGACTGCTCTATTCTAGGGGTGAGATGCAATATACTGGCACACTTGCTCACTGATTGATTGACACTATCGTTTACCAGTTTCAGAATATCATCAAACTTTGGCTCAATACCTTCATCCTCTATACGAGAGCTTATCTTCACCCACTTCCTATGCAGTCGAGTAGGTAGGCGTCTCGCTATTTCCTCTAGGACGGAATTTGAGTTCAGATCACTCGTACAATCCATCGAAATCAATGCATTCTTGTAAGTCGACAGATTATCCTAAAACTCAGTAAGTGCCTTGGAGTCATCTTGTAATTGACTACCATTACCTTTAACAGCCTCGAATAATTTCCTTACAATCATCGAACGTCTTCCGAATCTTTGACGCAATATGCTCATAGTCTCAGAGTATCCTTCGTTAGGGGGCATGAACTTACAGCACTGAATGGCTCTTGAAGCAACTCCAGTGCAGTACCTCATCAAATATATCAACTTCATTTCATCATTTAATAAAGAACTACTCAATATGATTTCAAACTCCTTTACAAACTGTAAATAGTCAGCTGGGTTTCCGTCGAAACACTGAGGTTCAAATTTAGACCTATTATCCCTAGAATGAGAAACATGAACAACAGACATATCATGCTGAGCATCATACATATCATTACAATTAACAAGCAACTCCGCATTTGTCAATCACGTCTCAAAAACTGTTAATACCCAGCTCTTGCTAAGCCGGGCCTCTCACTCTCCCTCGAAGACTTTCAGAAACGCTTGGTACTAACGGAAGCAAGAACCAAAACACCGATTGGCGACTCGAGAATTCTTTATTCTAACACCAACATATGAGCAGCATAATAAACTAAGGTCTATGAACAAATATTACAACAATAAATCAAGATAGTGCTTCTGACGGTTTTTTACTCTTCTTTCTGAACAGCGACTGTCAGTCTCGTCTCATAAACCGTTAATGCCCAGCTCTCGCTACGCTCGGGCCCACGCTGTTCCTTTGAGTTTCAGAAACGCTTAGTTATAACGGACGAAAAAACCAAAACACCGATCTGCTGCTTGTTATTTCTTTATTGTTACACCAACATATAAAAGGAATAAACGAACTAAGATCTGAAAACAAATATTACAATAATATATCATTTTATTACTTCTGACGATATTTTACTCTTCTTTCTGAACAGCGACCGATGAGACGATGACTGTCGTATTGATGCCTCCGCGAAAATCGGGGAAGTTGATTTTGAGCAAACAACCAAGAATTGATCGTTCAATCTTCAACTCCATTGACACTCCCCGGCAAAAAAGGGATCCAACCCTTTTTTCCTTCACGACCAATGCACGTTGACTTGGATGCCATTGCGAGAACCTGGGTCACACGGACAGAGCTGAAATGGAAAACAAACAGAAAAGCCAACACACCACAAGCATACCCACAGCACAATCTCACACATCGCTGACGACCTGCGCCTCCAGACAGAGACCTCCTCTTGACATCTTGCAACACAATCGCCACTTACTAGAATGACTCTTGCAGAATGCAACGTGACCATAGCAGCACCTCATGATACTCTTCAAGCATCCTTTTTTCTATTCACTATCAATTATCACTGAAATCGCTTGTCACTCATTCTGCCTCAGTTCTAGTAGCGGTGACGCATGCGAGCCACAGTCGTTTACACTCTTTCTCCCCGGCGTGTCGGACCGCAGCTAACAATTATCTCCATATGCATTTCATTCTCAGCAATAGCCTAGCCTCCCCGGCGTATACGACCCATCTGCTGTCTTTAACATCAATCAATTCATTCATGGATGTAGAAGACTCGAAACAACTTCAGAAGTAATCACGACGAAAATTTTAACAAAATTACGCAATAACAACAAGATACGAAAACAACAAGTAAACACAATGAATCCAAAAACACCAATTGATATGACACACCACACATATATACAAATAGTACAATTAACCTCGCCGATCATGTCTTGGTGGAATTACTTTGAAGAATTGCAGGACTTACACCAGTACGCCTACAACCCTTCTCAGGTTGACGCCCTAGGTTGGAAAATCGTCGCAGAGTTCATTTGCTAACTTCCTTCTATCAGCTATATCCTCAAATCTGAACGGCAACACGCTCATGTCATTGTATCGTAGAATATAGATGACCAACAAACACACGACATATCTCATCAACCAAGTATAGAAACAGAGTAATTTACACCAAAGATAATAACATTCAAATAGTAACTTGAAACTAGAAATGCCTTTATTCGTGCAAGTCAATTTAACAATAACTCTCTCCTTTACACTTGGCTTATCCACACTAAACTGAGCAATATCTTTCGTCTTTTCAAACGCACCAATACTATCATAGTCATTGCACAAGATACTTGAGTTGATGGGCATCTGTTTCATTGTGGATGAAAACACCAACGATGACTGAGTGACACAAGGTGATGAAGTTAGCGGTGGATCAGAAGCTGTTCTTTTTCGGCTTTCAGATAGTTGTCCAACTGCAAGATTACCACCACTGCTGTCTTTCACTACTAGTTCGGGTTTAGCACTATCATCTGATGATAGGTGGGCTACATGCTGATCAATTACACTGACTGTCTCACAAGTATGCATAACTTCTGGAACTGCATCTGCGTTCAATTCTACTTCACGTTCAAGTTGTACAGAACCTTTATTTAACTTAGCAGTAGTAGGCATATCCCTCATCTCATCATGATCAACCAAAGACAAATGTGCACTATCATGATCATTATCACAAATATTCAATTTACCGTCAACTTCATCATTTTCAAACTCTTTAATAACAGAAGTAGACAATTTTGGTTCCTCCTCACAAATCATTAAAGGTTTTATATCTTCACTCTGACTAGTAATACCTTGTAAACTTGTAGGGTCAGAACTGCACTCTGAAGCAATAACTCTATTCTGTGACACTCTATTCAACAATGGCTTACCAGTTGCAACTACAGACTTCTTCACCGCACCGTTATCGTCACACAATTCGGAGTCAGACCTGGAGTTTACATTTAGCTTATCACTGAACTTGCTCACTGGTTCACAGTTCACCTTTGTATGCACCTCTTGCAAACGTGTAAAACACAACCGTGTTTGTCTTGCATCTTGTAACTTATCTGTTGAGGATGTACTACGAAACCTGTTACACTCACTAGGTCTATATGCATTACTAGACATCATGGAGCTTTCTCGATATCCACCTCTCTGAGGCCCTTTCGTCATCAATGATTGCGTTTTGCTCTCAGACTGCTCTATTCTAGGGGTGAGATGCAATATACTGGCGAACTTGCTCATAGATTGATTGACACTAGTGTTTACCAGTTTCAGGATATCATCAAACTTTGGCTCGATACCCTCATCCTCCATACGGGAGCTCATCTTCACCCACTTCCTTTGCAGTCGAGTAGGTAGACGTCTTGCTATTACTTCTAGTATAAAACTCGAGTTGAGGTCACTCATTCGATTCATCGAAATCATTCCATTCTTGTAAATTAGCAAATTATCTAAAAACTCAGTGAGTGCCTGGGAGTCATCCTGTAATTGACCACCATTACCCTTAACAGCCTCGAATAATTTCCCTGCAATCATCGAAGGTCTTCCAAACCTTTGACGTAATATGCTCATAGCCTCGTAGTAGCCCTCTTTTGGCTTCATAAACTTACAACACTGTATAGCTCTTGCAGCATCTCCAGTGCAATATCTCATCAAATACATTAACTTCAATTCATCATTTAATAAAATACCACTCAACATGATCTCAAACTCCTTTACAAATTGTAAATAATCGGCCGGGTTTCCATCAAAACACCGTGGTTCAAATTTAGGGAGTTTGATGTTCCTATTATCCCTGAACGGCGAAACAGTAACATCAACCATGTCATGCTTAACATCAGACACATCGTTACAATTAACAGACAAGTCACCATGACTTACTTTCCTGTTTGCATCCAAGACACTCTGTCCCTTCTTTGACCCAGGCATTGTTGAACTTGACCCAATTCCAAAAAGTTCCAGATATTGCTTGTTCAAAGAGGACTTGACCGGCACCAGGAAAGATGAACGGCGACTATCCAAACTTTCACCAACTGTCTGAATCCGCCAGATCTGTTTCTACCGTCAGAAACTGTCAGTCTCGTCTCATAAACCGTTAATGCCCAGCTCTCGCTACGCTCGGGCCCACGCTGTTCCTTTGAGTTTCAGAAACGCTTAGTTATAACGGACGAAAAAACCAAAACACCGATCTGCTGCTTGTTATTTCTTTATTGTTACACCAACATATAAAAGGAATAAACGAACTAAGATCTGAAAACAAATATTACAATAATATATCATTTTATTACTTCTGACGATATTTTACTCTTCTTTCTGAACAGCGACCGATGAGACGATGACTGTCGTATTGATGCCTCCGCGAAAATCGGGGAAGTTGATTTTGAGCAAACAACCAAGAATTGATCGTTCAATCTTCAACTCCATTGACAGCGACCGATGAGACGATGACTGGTGTATTGATACCTCCGCGAATATATGGGGAAGTTAGGTTTGAACAAACAACCGTGAATTGACCGTTCAATCTTCAACTACATTGACAAGGTATCTCCTCTTCTGAATAACGCGAAGCAATGACAGTATGCACTTCAAGGCGTGTTCTTACTTAAGTTCTGTTCGACCTTAGAAAATGCTTGAGAGCGGGAGCACCTACGTGTCTATGTGTGAAGTGCATAATCACAAATGCCGTCGCTACATTAACCGTGTAATTTACGATTCTGACCACAGTCGCACTCTGAAGTTACAAAGGGGTAACTCACGTTTTTCAGCCTACTGATGTGCAGTCGCAATACCCTTCACTTTTTTAGGCTGAAAGTCATGCCTTTGACCATCGACCAGTCTTCCAGAACTTTTAGGGCAGCCTGTAGCCTATCGGAGGCCTTGGAGCACTTTACTGCCCTCCAAGTTTCTACAGCCCCAGCGTGAAAAAGAGTCAGATGGTTTACATGGCATCGTAGGTAACGGATAAAAGTCAAGAACATCAATGACCCTAGGACGGAACCCTGTGACACTCCTGATGCCAAACTGTGTCAGGATGATCGGACAAGGCTGACCTTAGAATAGGATTCCATTTCGACAAAGCTGTCCACCAACCATTCGGGCCACCCGCGGCGCTCATGTGAAGTGAAGGGAGACCATATGTACATGATCGTTGATGAGGCTGCCACCGACCCTAATCAAATACCATGGGTTTCTTCCTATTTTTTACTGCTTGCCGCTTTTCAACTACAGTTGAAATCCATAAAAATGAACACAAAACACATATGCATCAAACCGAAATACACTCCTGTCCATCTAATATCAAGCTAGCCTGTTAGTAAAGAGTTGTTTTCCACTAGAACTTACTTCTGCGAACATAATATGATGCGTGCTTCCATGAGCAGTCCAGACGATTCCGGAAAAGTTCATTCGAACTGGGAACTGTTTAAGACTCTTAAGTTACCTGGTGATTCGAGGCAGTGTACACAACCACAGAATAAGCACAAGGTGATGTAGGTTTCAATAGACTCGTCTCAAGATAGTGGGTACGCTGCCTACGGGGCATAAGATTGGGGAGGTAGGCAGGTGAAGGGTCGAACCAGCATCCGGTATAAGTAACTCTTATCATCAAATTGAAGACCAATAAAGAACCTGGAGATAGATAAAAATTTAAGTCCAACATTCTGAAACTGAAAGAAGAAGCTACGAAGGACACCTTCGCAGTCATCAAGAAAAGACAAAAGACATCAAGTAAACTTCCTGAAAGGACACCGGAACTTTCTACAGACGACGTTGAAAGAAACCTGCATAGACACCTTATGCAGGGTGAAGAATCAGGACAAGAAATGACTCTACACGGATACATGGGATCCGGTAGCCGCGAGAAAGATGAGTGATCGAATTGAGAGATGAGCGACGAACAGGGAACGTAAGTATAATCTGCAGCACAATGAAAGAAGGAGTGAAGAAGAGCTCTCGGGAAGACAAAACACAACTTTTTGATTCATTAACAAATGAACCGGAACGAGTTCCACTTTACGAGAACGTCACAACACTTGACTCAATGCCCAGGTTTCCAAAAGGAAAGAGATCAACGCAAATGAAGCCAGTGAAAGACAGTGAAGAAACATCAATTACCTGAAGGGTAGAAAGGATGAAACATTGCCTTAATCAATTCACTTGACTCCTAAGTCCACCATTACCTATAAATCATGCAGAGGTGCCATTAGCAGTCAGCACTATCGGTGAGCACGAATTCTCCGACGAGAAGAAGAGTCTTAGAATCACAATGTTACTGAAAACCAACCGAGCAGCAGCTGAATCAAGTGAAATTCCTCAGAGTCGGGTAAAACGGACCCACAGACCTCTGTCTAAACTTATGCTTTACACTGACTGAAATTTTCTTCGTGAGTTATTTGTGGATAATTTTTATTAAAATCGTGTCGTATAGTGTTTGGAAAGATGGGAACTCAAATATTCCGACGTAACATATTTCTGTGAGCGTCATTTTGTGGTGAGAGCAGGCTGCTAGCCGATTGGTAGACATTAATTTACGTCAATTTCTAGGTCACTAATGTTGGCCGTGAGAAAATATGAACAAGGCTGATTCAACAACCGATCACGGCAGACTTAACGTGGGCAAATACGACTCGCAGATAGATGGCTTGACTTCCGAGAAACCAGAAACAACCAATCAGAAGACTGTGTTTGTCTGCTTAAATAAGCTATAATAATGTACATGAAATGTATATTAATACGTGCTGATTTCCGTAATAAAACCGTCTGTTGCCGACCCTTGTCTTCTGTTGTTACAATTTGATCTGGCCGCAGCAGACTCACTGCATGTTGGGTGCAAAGGTTTGCGTCTCAGCTGGAATGTATGGAAATATTGCTAAGATGAGCGGGATAGAATACCTGGGGGGGGGGTAAGGTCGCCGGCAACTCTAAACATAAGCGACAAAATCGAATGACCGACTAAAACGGAAGTAATTACCTTGAATGAGCAATCAGGTGAGCCAGAACTATAGGCGCGGAAATACATGCACAGTAAGGGAACCGTCACGCGAATTCTATCTACAGGTAGTATTTCAGTACTGCAGAAATAACAACTATCTGAACAGTCTCCTCAATGCTAAGACTTAGGAATTAGGCAAAATATCAATTTATGAAGAATAAATAGAGGCTGAGTGTGATGACGTTAACGGATAGTATGATTTATACTAACGTAAGATTTTGTGCTAACAACTTCTATAGTATTTATTCCACGTAGACCAAAGGGGAAGCAAAACACCAAATTGGTCGTCTAAAACACGAAGTGTGTAATCCTAATCATCAAGCAATGATCTGAAACGGAGAGCAAAGCGCACGTTAGAAGGGTTATCACA